CGACACTGAACGGGACCGTCCTGTCTGCGCGAGAGACCCTGGAATAAGCATGTGCTGCCTTCCCTCCCCGCTGCACTGACGACTTAGCCCACTCCTTCCACTCCGATAGGGACTCCTTGGCGTCCGACTTGCGCAGGCCTTCTACATACTCTCGTAACTGCCCGAACAGCCCTTCTAACTCCCCTCTGAGCCCCATGGATATCCCTTCAACTAGGCTGATCAAAAAGCGGGCATTCGTGCCTTCGTCTGGCGCCTCCAGCGCCGAGATCATCCCGAACAGGGCGGCACACCATTCGTGAAAAAGACCGCGAGCTCTGGCTCCTAGCATATCTTGGCCAACTGCAGCTGCGCGACGAGCCAACGCCTCGAAGGACATCCAACTGGTGGTCCGCTTTGAATATCTCCTCCTAGACCCTCGGTCCCAAACCGTCTCGAGGGGAATATTTATGACCTTAGGGCCCCCAGCTCTTCCACACATCCTGGCAACGCTAGCACTGTCTAGGTCGTGGAACTGCATGAGCCAGCCCTCAGCCTGGGTGAACCATTCCCTGACCATGGACCCCAAACAGTGTGAGCCTCCTCCAACATCCCAAGACCACGTGCCTTCCGTAGGGAGCCTCCGAGGACCCACGAGCTTGTCCAGGGGGAACTGCGTATATCTAACCTGCTTCGGGACGACCGTCGACGGGGCCAGGTTCTTGACAACGATGCCCACAGGCATATGAGGCCACGAGGGGGCTGCAGGGAACGCCAGGACCTCCTTGACGCAGTGCCCTAAACACCTGGACCCCACGAAGAAATCGATCTCCCGCTCATCCTTCCTGTCGACCTCCTCCTCTGGCCCTGAACTGGTTACTGGAGCGGGCCCTGCTCGACACGTAGCGTGGCCCGTCGTAAACATACATCCCCCAACCTTGGACACCCATTCCGATGCTTCGAGCTCTTCAGGAGTGAGGTTCCAGTCCCCTTGCACAATCCAGAGGCAGGTGAGGGACTTGATGTACTCTCCGAGAGTGTTCAATAACTCAACATTGTCCCCTGCGACTCCAATGCTGGTGTAGAGGTAGACCGAGAAAACCATCAACCCGCCTGGAAGTCCTACGTTGGTGTGCCTGCTTGCCACTCGCGACTTGAAAGATTCCAACTCGGGTGGCCTTGGCACACTAGAAGACGCCAGAGAGCTGGCCACTGCCAAGCCTACTCCTGCCGAGGACTGCGTCGGACCTGGCCCTGTGGACGCTGCTGGTCCTAGGGAAAACGCGGAGGAGCGGCGATCACCCCAGCCATAGGCGGAGTCCAACTTACCCTTCTCCTTCAGCCGAGTCTCTTGCACGCAGATCACATGCGGCTTGACTGGTTCGCCTGAAGCCGACTCCACGCCGAAGAGGTTCGCTTCTTGGTCCCTACACCAGTCAACCACATTGGTGAACGAGTCCCACGCGTTCGCATTCACACCAAAAATGATCAGATCGCTGACGATCGTGACCGATGGGCCGACTCCACGAGCCACGCCGCCCTGACATAGTTTTCCCTTTCCGCGTCCGTCGCCAGGTGGGGACGAGAGATGGTGTAGCCCTTTTCCGCTCAGAGGGCGAGTCTCCTTGGGCACCGTCAGGGCTAGCTTGACACTCAGCTGCCCCTGCCGCAGGTGGAGGCAGACCGCCACATCCTTCCATGAAATCGCCCAGGCCTCCACCGAGAACACAAGGCCCATCACTTCCAGATGCGACGCAAGCCTGCAACTCACCATGCCCATGAACAGGTGGGGAGGAGAGGTGGCGCGGGCCTTTCCGCACAACAGGTGCGCCTCCAGCCGTCCTGGTACTTCCTCCCGACGCGGTGCCCGAAGACGAGGGAGCCGCCGACCCCGAGGTGGTACCCGTACGAGATGTGGACTCGCGGGGGAGGCCCCCAGCCCCGTTGCGACCGAGGGGTCCCACCTCGCGCGACATAAGAGAAAGTGATGCCGTCGGGGTCGAGGTCGACCCAGAAGGCGATGTCCCTGGCCCTGACCCTCTTCGAGGGTCCTCGACCCGAGGGGGGGCAGCTTCGCGAGACCGTCCGTCTCTGTCCGAAGCTTCGTGGCCCAGGCGAGGCCACTGCCGTGGGTCCAGACCGACCCCGTCGAACTGGCGGAACAGCTCCGTGTCGAAGACGAGGTCGTCCCTCAACACTGGGACTGCGAATCCCGTCGCCTGCTCCCAGTCGAAGTCGATCATGTTGCCCCTTGCGAAAGCGTCGAGGTCGGCCATGCCGAGGCTCGCCCTCGCCGCTGGCTCGGGAGCACTGGACGCCACTGGGTCAGCATCAACCCGCACTCGGCCGTCACCCTCGCCGCGCCTTCTTGGCCGTGTGCTCGGCGAGCAGCTTGGCCACGGCTGCAGACGTGTCCCCCTCGCCGTCCATGGCTCGCTTGAGGGACTCCTGGAAGTCAGCCTCCAGGAAGTCGGACTCGTCCATGGGAACGGCCTGGTGCTCACCTCCATCATCAGGGGCATCCTCTGCCTGACCCCCAGCATCAGCACCATGATCGCCAGGAGGGCCTGGGCGAACGTCCTCAGCCTCTGCCGCCTGCTTGGCTGCCTCCGCATCCGCAGCCGCCTTGCGCTGGAGCTCTTCAAGGACAGCAAGGGCGTCCTTGCCTTCCTGCGTTGACAGCACCGCAGGCTCCAGCCCCGCCGTGAGCACCTTGAGAGGGTTCTCGTGCTCTCCTGCCTGGAGCTTCGCCAGCACGCCTCGGGCTGCGACGAGGTCCGCCTTGGCCTGGTCGATCCCCTTCTGGATGCCGTCCAGCTCCTCATCGAGGGCTGCCCTCTGCTCGTTGATGTCGACGCAGCGGGCCTCTGCCTTCTGGATCTTCTTCTTGAGGTTCTCCACCTTCCACCAGGCAGACATGGTGGTGGGCGGCTTGGGCGGCGCCACAGCCTTGGTCTGCGCGGCCGCCAAGACCGCAGCATGGGCGTCCTCAAGGCCCTCACTCTTGAGGAACTCCGCCACCAGCTCGTGGGAGAGCCCCGCAGCAGACGCTGGCGCCTCGCCCTTGGCCTTCGGCGGACCGCCTCCAGCTGGGCCCTAGGGGGAGGAGGAGGAGGAGGAGGAGGAGGAGGAGGGGGAGGAGGAGGGGGAGGAGGAGGAGGACGGGCCGCCCAAGCCCTGCGGAGAAACCCTCCAGGACAAAGTCTTCTCAGAAGGCAGCGGGGCTTCTCGGAAGCGCTCCCTGCCTTCCGAGGGGTCTCCCGTGGCTTCGGGGAAGGCTCCGAAGACGTCCCCAAAGGCCCGGGGACCTCCAGGCCTGCGGAGGAGGCCCGCCTTCCGAGGGAGGGCGCCGGGCTCGCGGGTGCAGGGCCGAAGGTGCTGCTGGGGTCGAGGGCAGCGGGGGGGGGTCAGGTGTCGGGGATCGTCAGTGATCGAGGGTTGAGGATCGTCCCATGGTCAAGGGTTGCGGAGCGAGGAAATATCGGGGGCGAACGTTTCGTCGAACGGTCGTTTGGTGCTCGAGCTTCGAGGGTCCAATCGCGCGCTTCAAGAGTTCTCAATCCCACCGGCCCTCTGGGCGTCGGTGATTTAACGAACTCTTGCCTTCTCCCTTTCCACAGCCCCTCCATCTTCTTCTCGGGAAAGGGTTTACTCCTCCCCCTACCCCATGCCCTGGGCCTGGGAGGGGGGCACGAGGGGTTAGAGCGCCCGAGATTGCCCAATATGGCTCCAGGAGAGTCTTTGAAAGCGGGAAGCTGGCCTCCTATAAATATTGCTCGAGATGGCTCAACATGGATCAAGAGAAGTTCCAACACCTTTGAGCCACGCTGGAAAGTTCCCGCAAGCAAGCGCCACCGCGGCCACACACGTTGTGTCAAATCAGCTGGCCGCCCTGCGCGCGAGCAGGCGCGCGCCGGCACGGCCGCGGAGATGCGCCAACCAAGGCCGAAGCGAGTCGTTGCAATCACATCCGCGTGGGTTCTGCAAAACAGGTTGCGGTTGGAGAGGGTGGGATGATTGTGCGAGCAATGGTTGGCAGCTCATGCACTGGCCGGAAACAATGCACTCCTAGGATGCGCTATGCAGCATTCACCACATAGCTGCCCCTTCATGCTTTGCACGCTGTAGGTTGCACCCCACCAACTGGCCCCATGGATTGCACCCCACACATTGCGCAACATGAATTTACGAACGAGCCAAGGCTGCACCACATTACATAGCACACCATGGATGGCACCTCATGAGACCCAACACACTGGGCCACATGTTTCCACTCGAGAGGAACTACCGAGGCAAGAACGCTACCCGAGCCCGCGCCCGCACAACCAACTATGAGCGGGAGAATGGAGGGCCATACACGGAATCAAACAGCTTGCACCACACAGCTTGCACCATAGTGTCAACAGCCCCACACACAGCTTGCAGCACGATGCGTGCACATCGAGAATGAAAGCGCCCACTGCACAGCTCCCCGCGCAGGCAGGCAACTCCAGGAGGGGAGGAGCATCGATCCCCCTGCCTCTCCTCCGCCATCTCCTCGCCCTGCGGGGGTCCTGCGCTGCGGCGCGGGGGCCTCCGATGCCCATCCCTCCCTCTCCTCACCCACACTGCCATCTGCTTCCCCTCCACCCCGCTCCTCCTCATCTCCACTCCTCCTCCTCCTCCGCCTCCTGCGCCTCCTCCTCCTCCTCCTCCTCCTCCTCCTCTTCTCCACCCTCCGCCGCGCTCCTCCTCATCTCCACTCCTCCTCTCCCCTCCTTCTCCTCCTCTCGCCTGCCCACTGCTTTTCCTCCTCCTGCTCCTCCTCCTCCCTCCTCACGCATCCTTACTACTCCCTTCCACTCTTCCTCCTCCTCGTCTTCCTCCTCCTCCTCAGCCCTCCTCCTCCTCAGCCCTCCAACTCCTCAGCCCTCCACCTCCTCCCTCATCCTGCTCCCCCTGTTCCTCCTGCTCGTTCTCCTCGTCGCTCCTCGCTCCTCCCTCCCCCCCCCCGCGCCCTCGCGAGGCTGGCGGCGTGGGGCCGCCTCCCCGCGAGCAGGAGCGCGATGCCCATGCCCCAGTCGAACTCGCTGCCGTTGCCCGTCGCGCTCGGCGGGGGAGGGGGATTGGCGAAGAGGGCGCCGTGGCCCGCCGCCTCCGCTCCGCAGTCGCACATGCAAGCGTCCCGTGTCGCAAGGACGCGCGGTGAGGGTGCAGGGGCCCCGGAATTTAAGGGATGAAAAACGACCCTACCCTTGGTTACAAGTGCGTGGTCTGTAAACCTCCTGGGGACCCCCACAGCCTAAAGCCGCCAGGACGCGGCACATCACGCAGGGTTTACCCTGTCAGCCCACAGGAGTTTCAGCGCACACCGCCTCGTAAACCAGGGTAGGGGCGTTTGTTATGCCCTTGACGGAAGGCCGTCTCGAAGTTGTTCGAGCGGGGCGCGGCCAGCGAAAGCGGCCAAGGGTGGGCCGGGGAGGCGAGGATACAAGAGTGGCCCTGGGACAACTGCCCGTCCTTGCTTTGTGGGTTGACTGTAGGCTCAGGTCGGGCATGCCCTCCTACAGGCAGATGTCTGGAAGGAACCAACACCGCCAAATAATAATCAAACGCAGCCCACGAAGCACGAAACATCGTAACCAGATCATTGTTTCACAATTGTGGAGCACTCCTCCTGTAGAGGGACATGCCCTCAAAAACACGCGACCCCCCGTCGGCCAAAGCAACCAGAACATACAAGGGCACCCTCCCCAGGACGCCCGGGAACGTCCAACAAACACACAGGACACGAGGGTACCCTCCCCGAACCAACCTCGATGCTCTACCTCGGTCCGACTGTACTTCCTCCTCCTCCTTGCCCTCCTCCCCCTTTCCAGCTGCCCGGTAGACAGCGCGCCCCAGCCCTACGCCCGTCGTCGGCGGTGGCCCGTAGGCCCGAGAGGGCGGAAATGCCCGTCACGGGGCAATCACGCCCCCGCACAGGGAGGACTCTCAACACAAGATGTCCGCCACAGCAGGATGTCCTCCTCCTCCTCCTGCTCCCCCTCCTCCTGCTCCTCCTCATTATCTTCCTCCTCCTCCCGCATTCTCCTCTTCCTCCTCCTCCTCTCCTTCCTCTTGCTTCCCCTCTTCCTCGTCCTCCTCCTCCTCCTGTTTGTTCCCCCTCCTCGACCGCCTCCGTTTCCTCTTCCCCCCTTGACTTCCTGCGCCTCATTTGTCCTCCGTCTGTCGCAACGTTCGCTAGAGCCGCATCAAATGCAAATGTCCCGTGTCGTTTTTCGGGCACGGGTGTTCGAACTCTCGGCAAGCCCTGCTCTGTCGCCTGAAACTTTCTATGCAGCAAAAGGCTGCGCTCTCGTTTCAATCGGAGACGGGTATAAGTGCACACGGGGAACCCCATGCAATCGTTTGCCTCCGATTTCCCGTGAGCAACATGGCGCTCCCCACCGCCGCTCCCCTGCGTACGGTTTTGGTTGTCAGGTTCAGAATAAGTCCTCCTCCTCCTCATCCCTCGTCCTCCGTACCTTTTCCTTGTAGATGCCTCATCGCTGCAGCACCCCAAAGACATTCGAAAGGGCGGGCAAGTCGTTTCGATTGAGATTGCTCAGCACGTATGACCCTGAAGCTTACAACGTGGCAGCACTCTCACGAATGAAAGCGGGTGGTTCTCGACTTGTGGTTCTCGCCACAGCGCCGCGACGTTTCGTTCCCAACCCTTGCAAAGAGCTTCACCGATGGAAACACATAGTTTTTAACAAGTGGCTCTCGCACCAGCGCCTCGGACATCCGTTTTAAGCATGTGCAAGAGAATCAAGGAAGTCCTGTTTCAAACTATTGTTCCCGCCTTTTCCGCGCACAGTTGTTTCAAACGTTTGCCAGAATCTCCTGGGTTCCCATGGTCAACGTGCCAGAACGATTTGTTGGAAGGCAACAAAGAGACGTCGATTCGCGGCGTTGCAGTCCCATGAATGGTGTTGCGCCACGGCCCAAGATCGTCAATACGGAACAATCATGTTGATTCGTGGCGCTGGAGTCCCGACAACCGTCTGCTGGCACGCTTCAGGGTCTTCAAACGGTTCTCTCCCAACGGGGCAGTCCTCACAATGGGCATGACCTCCTGTAGGGGCCCATGAAAAGGGAGCTTGGAGGAGCGTGTATCCCAACATCGTTGAAAGGCCTTGGGTTTCAACTGATCCTCCTCCCCCTCGGTTTCCTATTACACCTACGACTACGAATATTGCTACGACTACTACTTCTGCGACGACTACCCCTACTCCTACTACGATTACTACTACGACTACTATTACTGGTAGTCCTACTGATGTTCCTACTCCTCCTGCTACAACGACTACTACGAGTACTACTCATAAGTCTACCAATGCTACAACTACTACTGCTACTACTACTACTACTGCTGCCACTACGACTACTACTTCTACTTCGACTTCTTCTACTACTGCTACTGCTACTACTACTACTACTACTGCTGCTGCTGCTGCTGCTACTACTACTACTACAGCTACCACTACTACTTATTTTTTA